GAAAGAACAAATTGTTAATACTAACAATAGTTTCATAAACATGCCGYACTGTCTGATTAAACGAAATGAAAAATAAGCTAACAAGAGAAAACCCTACCTCGAGCATAAAAAAAATAATTATAATAATACTATAATAGACATTAGAAGATGTTTTTCACTCGTTGTCTAGGTTGTYGTGTAATACAAAGTTCTCGTGTCACTGAAGTGTACAATATCACCTAAAAGGAATTTTTCGCGAACACGGATCCCGTTGTATAATTTAAACATAATGTATAACGTTATATTATACAATACACCCATCGTCGACGGTGACACAACAGTTGCGTATAACTCAACGAAAACACGCGCTGATTATCCACGTAATATGTTTAAAATTATAAATATAAATAAATATAATATAATTATATAACATAAACTTTACGACATTAATATTTTATAACATATTACAACGAAATATTTTTATATTGATTGCATATCACTCGTTCCAGATTGGGATTGCRACATTGACAGTATATTTGGTTGTACGTTTTAATCTCARTTTGAAATTTAAATAACAACTTGTCATTTTTACTATTCTTTAAAAAATATGTTTTGAAAATACCTATATCTAAGTCTATATCAATAACGATTATGGCGTGTCGAAATGTAGTTTGAGTAATGAATTTGTTGAAAAAATATATTTATTACGTGAAATTATAAAAAAAAATCACATGATTAATGATCGCGATCTGAAGGCTGGTACAAATTTCTGACATGAAAAAGAGGTGGTGATTTTAATTTATGCGCCAAAACCCATACCTAAGCGATTGGAGAAGATTGGTGACCTGTTGAAAGTTGATAGGTAGTCGAAACAACAAATATGAAGCGAATCTCGAGAAAAAGAGACTCGATATAGGCGAATATTTTATGACATGTGTAATTTATGAATTACAGACAATACAATATTCACTTAAGGTACTGACTATTGATTATTAATCACAAAATTAGTTTTTTTAATGTATGTTGGTAAAAGATATTTTAAAATTAATGCAAATCTTTGCTCTCGGTCAAAATGCTTAAAAATTAATATCGTTCTTAAAATTTGTTCTTTTAGTAGTAGAAAAATATTAAAAATTGATAGTCAACACTTTTTTTATTCAGTGTTTAATTTGATAAAAATTTAAAATTGAAATATTMAAGAAATTAGGACTCCACACGTAAAATTACAATTTTTTGTCAAACAATTTTAATTATTTGGTTGTAGGTAATTCAATAAACTATAATCATCAGAACTTGAAATAAAAATAATT